CATTGTTAACATTATCATAAAGTGATTAGCCAACTCTAACTCTCCCCTTCTACTCCCTTTGTCTTCTCTCTCTCTCTCTCTCTCTCTCTCTCTCTCTCTCTCTCTCTCTCTCTCTCTCTCTCTCTCTCTCTCTCTCTCTCTCTCTCTCTCTCTCTCTCTCTCTCTCTCTCTCTCTCTCTCTCTCTCTCTCTCTCTCTCTCTCTCTCTCTCTCTCTCTCTCTCTCTCTCTCTCTCTCTCTCTCTCTCTCTCTCCTCCACTCCCCGGTCCTTCTATCCCCCCCCCTTTCCTCTATAGCCATTACGTTCTCTGCTCCTGTTCCTTCTTCTCTCGTCTCAACCATTCCCTCACCTCTCCTTCCCTTCCCTCTTCTCCCATCTTCTCTCCCTCTCTATCTCTACCCCCTGAAGGTTGGTGAATCCAAACCCCCGTGCTCCTCTCCCTTCCAAATGGTGAAGTCAATTAGCGTAAAATTCAATATGATGCAGAGAGGCAACTGATGAAAGTGTACTGATATCTCTCTGTCTGTCTGTCTCTCTGTCTCTCTGTTGTATAGTATGTTCGGTCTCCTGAATGAGGCTGTTCAAATTCTTATTTACTGGACTGTTAAGAATTCGTTTTCTGACGAAATATTTTTTGTGGAAAATAGGAAATCCTATGGGGGGGGGGGCTATTAACTCTTATGAACAGTCCATACTGGGTACCTGAATGGTACCTGTGTTGTACATGGTACCGGGTTGGTACCTGTGCAGTACTGGGTAACTGGATAGTACCATAACCCCTCCCCATCACCCCTCCCCATCACCCCTCCCCATCACCCCTCCCCATCACCTCTCCCTCTACACGACTCGCCAGAGCTGGGGATGGTAATCCTGTTTTATAAAGTTGAAGAAACTTTTTGACAAGTTCCTCCTCGAGTTCCCTTATTTATTACTGTCCGTGAGCGGCTGCCATACCACAAGGTGGGTGTATGGCAGGGTGGGTGTATGGCAGGGTGGGTGTATGGCAGGGTGGGTGTATGGCAGGGAGGGTGTATGGCAGGGTGGGTGTATGGCAGGGTGGGTGTATGGCAGGGTGGGTGTATGGCAGGGTGGGTGTATGGCAGGGTGGGTGTATGGCAGGGAGGGTGTATGGCAGGGTGGGTGTATGGCAGGGTGGGTGTATGGCAGGGAGGGTGTATGGCAGGGAGGGTGTATGGCAGGGAGGGTGTATGGCAGGGAGGGTGTATGGCAGGGAGGGTGTATGGCAGGGAGGGTGTATGACAGTGTGTATGGAGACCCTCCGGCCCTACAGCCACACTAATGCCAGCCTTCAAGACAATAATCAACCATTGTCCACAAGAACCAAGAATGAAGAAGTCTTCCCTGACCATCACTTTATCACACTAACAACTGCCCTTAACAAAATTGCTCCTCTCATCCCCCCAACACTGCTCCTCCTCCTCCACCTCCTCTTCCTCCTCTTCTTCTTCCTCTTCTTCCTCCTCCTCTTCTTCCTCCTCCTCTTCTTCTTCCTCTTCTTCCTCCTCCTCTTCTTCCTCCTCCTCTTCTTCCTCCTCTTCTTCCTCCTTCTCTTCTTCCTCCTTCTCTTCTTCCTCCTTCTCCTCCTCCTCCTGGAACTAGTTATGGCGGACCTAACTCGCCTCAACACAACTACTTTAGCATTATTTTGTCTGGCGTTGTTAGTGTCGCAGACCCGTGTCTCCTGGCACTCCTAGGCCCTGTTGGCACTAGATGGTGTCAGGTATTGGTACCAGGTGCCAATACCTGACACCGTCACTCTTGATGACATCACCTCCACTACTGCCACCACTTGGCTCCAAATACCTGTGAACGAATAGTTGGATTCTCATCCCACAGCGGGTGAACCAAGAGGGGGGTTGGTGGGGGTGTTGTTGGGGTGTGGCGGGGGGGAGGGGAGGAGGGTGGCGGGAGTGTGGCGTCTACCCAACAGGAAAACGTCTACCCAACAGGCAGACGTCTACCCAACAGGAAAACGTCTACCCAACAGGCAGACGTCTACCCAACAGGCAGACGTCTACCCAACAGGAAGACGTCTACCCAACAGGAAGACGTCTACCCAACAGGAAGACGTCTACCCAACAGGCAGACGTCTACCCAACAGGAAGACGTCTACCCAACAGGAAGACGTCTACCCAACAAGCCTGTTTAGCCGACTAGCACCAGAGACAGAATGGAACATCCATAGAATGTCTCACGCTGACACTTAGTAACAAATTTGGTCCCTACGGGCCACACCCAACTGCCGGAGGACACAACCCCGTCCACGATGAGGTAGTGATCCACGAGGACAGAACGAGACAGACAGACACAGAACAAAAAATGAAGCAGACAATACGCAACTCAATATAGTTGAATTAGCAAGAAGACATAAAATGGAAGAGGAGATACGCTCTCAGAGGACGGAATAACAGGATAGGGGAAGAGCAAATTAGAAGGGGTGCAGTGGGAAAGGGGTATGGGAGGATGAAGAGGAGAGTGAAGGGTGGAGGAAGGGTATGACGAAGGGGGTGGCTATATAGACTGGAAGAAAGGTAAGGTTAAGGGGGTGGGAATAGGGTATAGGGAAGGTGACGGTGGTGGGTAGGTGGGCAGGCTTAGTGGACCTGCAGTCATGCGAAGCTGTCAGCCCTCTCGCCTGGCTGGCCCATCTCTTATCTTGAGGTTATCTCGCCTGGGATCGAACCCAGGACCACAGGATCACAAGTCCAGCGTGCTGTCCACTCGGCCGACCGGCTCCCGACCCATGCTCCAAGCTTGGTGCAACCTGGGTGGGAGCCGGTCGGCCGAGTGGACAGCACACTGGACTTGTGATCCTGTGGTCCTGGGTTCGATCCTAGGCGCTGACGAGAAACAATGGGGGAGAGTTTCTTTCACCCTATGCCCCTGTTACCTAGCAGTAAAATAGGTACCTGGGTGTTAGTCAGCTGTCACGGGCTGCTTCCTGAGGGTGGAGGCCTGGTCGAGCAGGGCCGCGGGGACACTAAAAGCCCCGAAATCATCTCAAGATAACCTCAAGATAACCTGCTCCAAGCTTGATACAAGCTGCTCCAAGCTTGTGTACTGCCTACACTGTCTTCTGGTCCTCTGTTATGTTTATATTATCCTTCCTGAGGTTCTTGCTTCCTAACTATCCTCATCAGACGAGTCGTGACTAACGAGCCCATGCCACCGTCGGATGTCAAGTCAGTTAATCTCTAGAGTTGCAATGTTGTTTTGTCTGTCAGTGTGTCACTGTGCAACTGTTCCTGAAGATCACCTTCACTGGTCGATGGCGACTACTGTGAACCTTCCCTATCCTACGATAATGTTCAGTGCCCAACCACTTGGACTGAAGGGTAGGGCGACGGTCTCGCTTCATGCAGGTCGGCGTTCAATCCCCGACCGTCCAAGTGGTTGGGGCACCAATCGTCCCCCTCCCCCTGTCCCATCCTAAATCCTTATCCTGACCCCTTCAAAGTGTTATATAGTCGTAATGGCTTAGCGCTTTCCCTGATAATTCTCTCCCTCCCCAGGTTGCCTCAGTCAGGCATATTTGTTGAGGAATTGTGTTAGTTGTGTCCAGGTTCACTATATCTTCCTTATCTTGTTTGTCTCATAATATTATGTATAGCCTTTATTACGTTGATAGCTTGTTGTAAGGTTTAGTGTGTGGTGTTACTTGGCTACATAACACGACTCCCTCGTCTTGGCCGCTCTACACCACCAACCTCATACTTCACACTGCACAATTTAATTTAACTTTTTTCCATCTCATTTTCTCTGTTGTAGATGTGTGTGTGTACTCATCTAGGTGTGCTTACGGGGGTTGAGCTTAGGCTCTTTGGTCCAGCCTCTCAACCGTCAACTGATGTACAGGTTCCTGAGCCTATTGGGCTCTATCATATTTACATTTGAAACTGTGTATGGAGTCAGCCTCCACCACATCACTGCCTAATGCATTCCATTTGTCAACCACTCGGACACTAAAAAAGTTCTTTCTAATATCTCTGTGGCTCATCTGGGCACTAAATTTCCACCTGTGTCCCCTAGTGCATGTGCCCCTTGTGTTAAATAGCATGTCTTTATTTTCCCTATCAATTCCTTAGAGAATCTTGCTTTAGTTCTTGGACACCCACATTTCCACCCGCCGGTTGTCTAAAGGAATAATTCCCCAGCCTATATATCTCCCCAGCCTATATTTCTCCCCAGCCTATATATCTCCCCAGCCTATATATCTCCCCAGCCTATATATCTCCCCAGCCTATATATCTCCCCAGCCTATATCTCTCCCCAGCCTGGAGGTCACACTTGCCACTGCTCAAAGTACATGTTTGTGTGTGTTCGTATTCAAGTGTGTTTGCTTCACGAACGTTTATATACAAACAAGAACGCTATAAACATATATAGATAGTGTACTCGAGTTACTTTTTTCGTAAACTGGGATATATTTTTAAACAGTTAATGAAACCCCAGGTGCAGTAGGTAAACATATTGTTATGGCGACTTACCTTAAGACTGGACACTGGAAAGCAGACTTTAGGATAAGGTACGAAACTCTGAGGATTCAAGAGACTGAGGGGTCAGAAGTTTGTCTTGGTTCGAACTTAAGGACAAGAGTTGGACAGGTAAGGTAGTGTTGGGTGGAACGTTCAAGGGCGGGGGGGGGAGCTAGGTAGAATTCTAACCACTGATGAATGTTATTGTTGTTAAAGATTTAGCTACTCAGAACGAAGTGTCCAAGTAGCACGGGCTATGGTGAGCCTGTAACACTGATGAAGGCACTCGTGCGATATGTATTGAGCTGGGGTCTGGTGTCATTGTTGGTAGGGGTCTGGATGAGGGACTAAATAGGTGGGTGAGGGATGAGATGGCTGAATTGATGGCTCATGATTGTAGAGAATTCTGGGACTTGGTATAGGACTAACACCTGAATAGGATGCTGGGGGGACAAGAGCTGGAGACTAGGGGAAAGGGCGAGAAAGAAGGCAGCGTGTCCTTACCTCCGTGTGCCAGGCAGCAGAGAGCCAGCACCTGCAGGTATCTGGTGGGGGCGTTGCTGGTACCCATCTTCCATAACCCTCCAAGGTACGCACTCCTTCTGTTCCTCCTTCTGTTGCTGCTGCTGGTACTGTTGCTGGTATTGTCTCTGTTGGTCCTGTTGTTGCTACTCTAACTACGCTGCTGGTGTTTGCTGTTGCTCAAGTGTTTCTGCGCCTGTTTTGCTTGTACCGGAAGCAAGAATTCCAGCGGCCCGCTGTATCGTCAGTTTCACTAGTCCTTCCAGCACTAGTACCGACGCCAACACTAGCACTAGTCCAAGAACCGGTCACAATACCGACGCCAACAGCAGCACTAGTCCAAGAACCGGTCACAATACCGACGCCAACAGCAGCACTAGTCCAAGAACCGGTCACAATACCGACGCCAACAGCAGCACTAGTCCAAGAACCGGGTCCCAATATCTAGAACCAGCACCGACGCCAGGACCAGAACCGACGGCGGAAGACTGCCTGGACGTCCTTGTCGGAGTTGTCACCCCATGGCGGCCTGCCTCGTCTTCCAGCAAGCTCCTCGAATGCTTTCCTGGAAAATCTCGCCTGGAAAGTAAAGTTTGCCTTTCACTCATAGCTCGTGTTACTTTACATGTTTTTTATTCGCTATATTTGGAGTTTCAGTTATTAATGATAATATTCATGTGACTTGAAAATAATTATATTTTCTGGGATATAATTATTTTATTTATTTTGTTTGATAGTAATTATATATATATATATATATATATATATATATATATATATATATATATATATATATATATATATATATATACATATACACGAAAACGCATTAAACAATCTTTTATTATTTCACTTTTTACTTTAACGGCACATGTATAAGATTTATACATGTAGGTGCCACATTTACAGGGGTTGTACAAGTGCCACATTTTACAGGGGTTGTACAAGTGCCACATTTTACAGGGGTTGTACAAGTGCCACATTTACACGGGTTGTACAAGTGCCACATTTACACGGGTTGTACAAGTGCCACATTTACAAGTGGTGTAGAGGAAGGTGCCAAGTTAGGCCCATTATGTTCAAGTGCCACTTGTTTACAGAGCCAATTATTTTACTGACAGTTAAGAGAGTTGTCATACAAATGCTACACGCTACCTTATCCAGGCCGCGATACTGGCAACTACGTTATCCTGACCGCGATACTGGAAGCCACGTTATGCAGGCCGCGATACTGGAAGCCACGTTATCCAGGCCGCGATACTGGAAGCCACGTTATCCAGGCCGCGATACTGGAAGCCACGTTATCCAGGCCGCGATACTGGAAGCCACGTTATCCAGGCCGCGATACTGGAAGCCACGTTATCCAGGCCGCGATACTGGAAACCACGTTATCCAGGCCGCGATACTGGAAGCCACGTTATCCAGGCCGCGATACTGGAAGCCACGTTATCCAGGCCGCGATACTGGAAGCCACGTTATCCAGGCCGCGATACTGGAAGCCCCGTTATCCAGGCCGCGATACTGGAAGCCACGTTATCCAGGCCGCGATACTGGAAGCCCCGTTATCCAGGCCGCAATACTGGAAGCCACGTTATCCAGGCCGCGATACTGGAAGCCACGTTATCCAGGCCGCGATACTGGAAGCTGGAAGAACATAGCCCCGTGTCTCCTAGCTCTCCCGTGTTATGTAGTTTCAATAAATTCGACTTGTTACATGTGCTTGTTATATATGTTTGTTATATGTGCTTGTTACATGTTCTGCAATGTTCTCACATTTGCTGTTCTTTAATGTTATTTGTCTTGTAATAATTTATATTATGTGTTTTACTGGCTTTTAGTTTTAATATATTTACGGGCTAATATTTCTTTAGATTTGCAATTCTCGTTTCCAAACAAGTTTTATACTTTATAGTTGCTATTGCTTGGATTGTTTTGTTCTTTGGCTTGTTTATTGGTGTTCTAAATTGTTCTCGTCAGTTTATTGTCAAGTTTTTTCTGGTTCTTTATTTTGTTTCGTGTTTGTGTCATCATCTTTGCTTCAGTAAACAGTAAGCTGTCCAGGAGACGTTGCACAGTTGCTGACCTAGTGGCACTCAGTGCCAAACAGGCTAAGTCCTAAATTTGCACCGGTAGAATAACAACATACTGGAGCGAATGATACTGAAGGAAATGCAAAATAGAACCAGTGAGGAGTAGAGGTGTCACAGGCACAATCAGATAACACTGTCTGGTCATCAGAGGTCCACAGCTGTTCAACACCCTCCCAGCAAGTAATAGAAATATTGCTGGAACAAAGGTGGATGTATTCAAGAACGAATTAGATAAGTTCTTGCAAGAAGTGCTGGACCAACCAGGCTGTAGTGAATATGTTGGCCTACGGGCAGCTCCAAGCAACAGCCTGTTGGACTAAGTTACACAAGTAGAACCTGGCTTCAGGCCGGGCTCAGTCAGTAGAAGAACTCCCGAGACCCTCCCCAGGTAATATCCAGGTAAGATCCAGCTTCAAGTGCCACTTATCCAGCTTAAGTGTTGCCACTTAAGATAATTCCCAAACAAATGGCAGGCGCCACACAAGTGCCAACATCGTGTGAAAACATAAAAGAGAAGATGTTGTTTCTCCAATCATGCGAGAAATATTGAGGTTCGGGACACAGATGGGACCCGGGGAAGACTCCACCCCTTGACTTCTACAGTATTACTCCCTCCAAGACCCCGGGGAAGACTCCGCCCCTTGACTTCTACAATATTACTCCCTCTAAGACCCCGAGGAAGACTCCATCCCATGACTTCTACAATATTACTCCCTCCAAGACCCAGGATAAGACCCCCCCCCCCCTTGTCTTCTACAGTATTACTCCCTCCAAGACCCCGGGGAAGACTCCACCCCCCCTTGACTTCTACAATATTACTCCCTCCAAAACCCAGGGGAAGACTCTACCCTTTGACTTCTACAATATTACTCCCTTCCAAGAATAATATTAATAATAATAATAATAATAATAATGATAATACGTCGTATTTCGAACCTCTCGAAGATGTCCATGTAGATGCAAGTTTGAAATAATTTTGTCTTTGAGTAATATAAATAATTCTTTGTCACTTTGATTCCTTAGACTCTAAGTGGTTTAATATACTTTATATAATTCGTATATTTTTCAGAAAGTTTGGGTATAATTGTTGTTTTTTTGGCTCATGGTTCCATGATGGCTGGGTGGGTTTATGTATAGTTGTTAAGGAGGTTCTTCTGTGGTGCTTGATACATGAACCATACTTGTTGATTTGTCGTGCCCCCCCCCCCCCCCGTGGGTAGACGGGCACCTGATGCCCCCCCCCCCCCGTGGGTAGACGGGCACCTGATGCCCCCCCCCCCCCGCGGGTAGACGGGCACCTGATGCCCCCCCCTCCCGCGGGTAGACGGGCACCTGATGCCCCCCCCCCCCCCGCGGGTAGACGGGCACCTGATGCCCCCCCCCCGTGGGTAGACGGGCACCTGATGCCCCCCCCCCCCCCCGCGGGTAGACGGACACCTGATGGAATGGTTCGTGGGCGAACCCCCCACCGTCAACCCCCCCTCTTCCCCTCCTACAGTCACTTAATTAACAAAGCCTTCTCCTACAGTCACTTAACAAAGTCTCCTCCTACAGTCACTTAACAAAGTCTCCTCCTACAGACACTTAACATAACGACACCGCTGGAGCAGTTAATACTTCATTAACAATGTAGGCATCACTGTCGGTGAGGAGGGGGGGGGGGAGGGGGCGGTGCCCTCGACTGGTGCCACTTGTGGCTTCTGGTCCATATGGAGCAGCAGTGCAAGACTTGGCACTCACGGTCCTCAGTGAGCCTTTTATGGCACGTGTATTGGCGGTGGCACTTTAGGCACTGTGGTGGCACCTTCAGGCACTGTTGTGGCACCTTCAGGCACTGTTGTGGCACCTTCAGGCACTGTTGTGGCACCTTCAGGCACTAATCTGGCACTGTTGTAGCACCTTCAGGCACTGTTGTAGCACCTTCAGGCACTCGGGCAGCTGCACGATCAGGCACTAAACTAGATTATTGTGAGGCACTCAGACAGTGTCTATCTAGCACTGCGAGGCGCCACTCGTCCTGGACTCCTCAGACGAGGCTTCGAATCGCACTGAAATATCCAATATTACATATCCGGATCACATATGAGGAGTCCAAAGTCGGTGCAATTGCAAATTCTCTCTCTTCAAATGTTCGCTACCTTTTGTAGGAGTGAGGGAATGAGGGAGTGAGGGAGGTCCGCGTGGGAGTACGAGAGTGAGGGACCGCCCGGCCTCGTGGGTCGGGGAGCAGGAGCCAGACCGTCTATCGCCCACCTCACCCGGTAACGCACTGACTGCTGCCATCCCTTGCTTCCGCTGCACCACCCCGCTCATCCTCCTCCTGCACCACCCCGCTCATCCTTCTGCACCACCCCGCATGAAATCAGTCAACTATGGAGGATTACTTGTTACTGCAGCCCTTTCGCTTGGTCTGTCACAACGTTGTCCAAAGTACTGTGTATGTTGGGGACACTGGCGTCCAAAAAGAGACAGTAGTTGATAGGACAGGTTGATGGTGTTGATGATTTTGAAGGGACAGTCACTAAGGCAGACTGGCCACAGGCAGCCCGGCCTGTGGTCAGTCTTCCCTGGTGATTGTGTGGTCTGTGAGGCTGTCTTCTGAGCCTGCAGGCCCACATAGCCATCACAAACAGGCCGATCCTGTCGCCCCAGTAGAAACTTGTCCTGTTCTCTCCTGAAGACTTTTCAATCTTATACCCACGACATTTCTTTCACATGTTGGCATTAGATGGACTGTAACACGGGTTTGGGTCCCTCTCTCTTTACTTCACTTCCTTCTACTCCCTCTACCCGTATTCTTACTTTTTATTCTCTACCAAGGGACTCCAAAACTTTTACCAAAGCCAACTCCACGCCACGTGGTCCTAAGACGATTGACCGACTTAGGATTCTACACCCAGTATGACGTGACCTAGGCTCCGAGCAAAACCCTAGAGTCGCCTCTACGCTGCCACCACCAGACCAGTAACACAAGAGCAATGATCGAGGTCTGGATCGATCACGCTAATTAATCAACCTAGGGGCTTGATCCCCACTATATACGATGACCTTGAGTGTGGAATAAATTACACGGTAATGATAATTCCGATTCGATGTTAGAATCGGCGCCCAATCCAACTTTACCTCGTGTGGACCACGTGACCAGGACAAGTTTACACATAAAACACATGGAAATAATGAAATGCAAAATATTAACAAATTTAATTTATTAAAAGAAAACTAAAACAAAATCTAAATATGTTCACTCCCTGTCACTTTAACACTCCCTACTTGACCTGAGTGGCAAATGAGAAGACTATCCCTATAATTAACAATAGCAACTATACCTTGGGCGACCACAGCTCTAGATGTTGGGCTGGTCTTGGGGAGAGGTAAGATGTTTGACCTCTCCCAGCTGCTCCCGTCTTCACACTGATCTGTCCTCGTCTGATCTCGCCCAGACTAGAACATTGTATTGTTCCGCATCGCTTACCCAGTTACTTTAGCAAGGTTAAGTTATAACAATTAACCTGTTGTACTTAATTGATCCAGACTGGTTGAATTATTTTACCGAAATTAAATTACACAAACATCTACGGCAGAGCTGTTCCCGATCCCCCAAAAATGGATAATTGAACTTTGAGAAATAGTAGACCTGTCAACCCTGCTGACCTATGACCGCCGGTCACTCCGCCTTACAAGTTAGATCTGATTCGTGACGTCACTGATGGTGACTTAAACTCAATAATTAGAATACTCTTGATATTGTATCCAGTACTATTATACAATACAATTTTAATACAAAATGAATAAAGGCTAATTTCTCTAAATTACTGAATACTATAGGATGATTCATTATACGCAGCTATGAACAAAGCGTTGGTTATTTCCACCGCGAATTCCCCTGGGGGTCAGGTCCCCAGGTCACCATGCGGGCTCATCTTCCCATTCTCTTTTGTCGATAAACCACTCTGGATAATTCTTACAACAGCCTAGTTTGTTACAACCCCCCCCCCCCGCACAAGCACTTAGTAAACCTTGTTAATTTGTTAAAATTCACGAGGTTTAGTATCCAAACCCACAATTCAACTCATGCCACAAACAAAAGCTAACCTAACTAATAAAATTTGACAAATAATAGTCCAACATCATAATAACCATGTTCATATTTCATAAATTTCTCAGCTGTCAACTGACAGCAATCCTCTAATATCAGGAAACATACATCCTATCCTTACTGACATAGCTAAATAACATGTCCCTACTCTACCATCAAAGACTAGCTATTAAACTCCCTTGGCTCTTCACTAGCCAAGTCCATGTGTCCTCTAGAGCCGGCCACACCGTGCTCAAACAAACATTAAAGTTGTAACTTCAGACTGAACTTTCAGTCATCCAGGAGCGTACTACGGAACTATCAGGTACACATCCGTGTACTCGCGGGCCTCTGACGCGGGCCACTGGTCTCTGTGCTCATGGCAACCCTTTTTGTTATTGGAACTTTGTTGGCACTTCCAGCCATATTTCTCACTCCAGTATGTTGTGAAAATGTGAAACATTTAGCCATACAAGGCGGCCAGAGGAACAAGATAACACTCCTACAAGACTGGAGGAAGCAGTGAGGCTCGCTGGAGTATCTCTCGGGCGTCACAAGTTCCAACACAAGCGATAGTGCGGTGCGTGGCCGAGCAGGCGGTGTGGGAAGAGGTGTGACGTCCACCGCCTCTTGTCTCTCCTCAAACACCTTCACACACACACACCCTCCAATAATTATTGACACATGTGAGGTGACGATAACACATGCGATGCAGCGGTGGAGCAGGACGCCACCTGCCACCAGGGGAATGACAACACCAGCTGCAGAGGCCAAATAAACTCAGAGGTGGTGTGCGTGTTCGTGCGTCGTGTTGACTTGTGGGCTGGTGGGGGGAGGGGAGGGTTAATGGGGGTGCTGGTTAACGTTTTGTAGGGGGGTGTTTATGGGGGATACTGAGTGGCGCTTGTGAAATGGGGTTCTACGAAAATTGTGGGGGAAGGAGGAATTTTGAGGAAGGAGAGGGGTGTTCGTGGGCAAAGGGGAAGGGGGGGGGGGTTTGCGGAGTTGTGTGGAAAAAGTTGGTGGTTGTAACAAGAAATTACTTGAGCGGTTTCGTGTAAATCAACACTTCCGTGTTGATTTACACAAAACCGATCTTCATTGATTATACTTTTGATTTGAATTCGTGTAAATCAAAACAAAAGCATAAGTAATGAAATATAATACTTGAATATTAACGCAGGAAAGGAGAATGTATCGTGTGAGGTGAAAACAATGACTAACATTGGTTCGTGGACTTAAGGAAAAGAGGAAACTGGGCTATTCGGGATATTCATGCCCGTGTCACCTCTTGGGTGGCTTAATCTTCATTAATCATTTAGGAAAAGAGGAAACTGCCTAACGACCAATACACGTGAGTTCCTGGCAGCAATATCACTACTGTGATGGTTGTCCATTGAGCGTTTTTCTAAGAGTTTTTAAAATCTATCCATTACAAATTTACCCAAAGTGTACAAACCATGACTAATAGTCATGTAGCATGGCTTTGTAATTTGTATGAAAACAGTTTTAATATATTAAATGTTTTTACAGTTTGTTATTGAAGATAACGTCTTCCGGTCAATTTGGTGAGAATTTTCTGACAAATGACTAAATAGAGTGTTGGATATTAGTCCACTTCTCACTAAATATTTATGCTGCAGTATTCGAAATTTAAAATCTTTGGATGTTTATCTACAGTGTTTACAATGTATATAGTGTAAATGACACAGTTATCGCTACGAAGGCTGTTTCTAACTAATAACTTTTTAACGTTATTTTAATCACTAAACACCACGTGTAAATAAAAAAGTTTCAAGGCCTTGACAATATTTTTCGAACCCAGAAAAATATGGAAAGTATAACACATTTAATAGACGAATTTTTCTGCGTTGATTTTGTTATAATATGTATGTTGGGCTTTGCTACGGCATGTTTCCAAAAACTTACTGAGTAGCAAAGTCTGAATTCAGTATAATCAAAATTTTCCAACTTTTTATCTAAGAGCCCTTAAACATTGTATCTGTGATCAGATAAATAATGAACATATGACAAAGCCTCCTCAGTGTTTGTCTGTAAACACTAAAATTTAAGACAAAAATCTTCCCTTTGCAATAAGATATCCAAAAATGACAGACATTTATCAGTTTCATTATCGACAGTAAATTTTTATAGAGGTGACGTTATCATTAAATTTTGATAAAAAATAATTCATCTATATTTGAAGGTTATATATACAATTCATTTGAAGGTCAAATACACAAAATATCATCAACATACCTAAACCAAGAAATGATTCCATGAATAATTTTACAAACAAAATTCTTTACAAAATATTCCGTGTCCAAGCTTGAAAGCGATGGAGATAGTTTTCGCATTGTCGTTCAAAAAGCTTGGTAATAATACTCATTATTAAAAGCAAATATACATTCTTCTATCCATAGTTTTATAAGACTGACAATGATATCAGAAGACAAAGGTAATGCGCGGTTCATTAATTAATGAGCAAAGTAACCAAGAATATTATCAACAAGAATTTTTGGAAATAAGGAATATACATCAAAAGTGATTAATTTAACATTCAGGATTGACTGAAACATTAACTTGTTATCTAAGTCTATGAAGTCAGTAAAATGCGAACCTGAAATAATACCAACAGGGGGAAGGGGGGAAATTTTGCTGACCTACTTAGGAAGCTTGTAAGCAGTGGAACCCACAGAACTGAGAATAGGTCTCATGGGATAGTTAAGTTTATGAGTCTTGACCAAACCATAAGGAGATGGAAGAGAAGGAGACGAGGTAGATATTCTTGGGCGAATAAATTGATTAAGATCATTGTGATTTCCAAAGAAACTTCCCCAAGCTTGTTATCATCAAGACGATTTTTTCTGAGCTTGGAGTACGTCCATGAATCTTCACTATTAATGTTAGAAATACAGTATATTCCACCTTGTCTAAGATAACAACAGTGCTGGATTTGTCAGCTCTTGTTTTATAATGGAGATATCTGTTTTTAAGCAGGCGATGAGTCACAATAACGTGGCTAAAGAATGTTGACCAGACCACACACTAGAAGGTGAAGGGACGACGACGTTTCGGTCCGTCCTGGACCATTTTCACAATCGACATGAGAATGGTCCAGGACGGACGGAAACGTCGTCGTCCCTTCACCTTCTAGTGTGTGGTCTGGTCAACATCTGCTTTTAACTCC